CTCACTTTGGCTCAGGTCATGATCTCATAGTCTGCGAATTCAAGCCCCACATCAGGCTCTGTGCTGACAGCTCAGAGCCCGAAGCCTGCTTCGGATTCTGTTTCCCTTTCTCTCAGCCCTTCCCCCACTCACGCTCTGTCTCTCTCTCTCTCTCAAAAGTGAAAAAATGTTAAAAAAAATTTAAAAAGAAAACACCAGACTTCTCCGAAAAACTATCAAAAGTACTACATTACTCCAGTAAAACTGTGGGACACAAAATAAATATACAGAAATCTTTTGTTTTTCTATGCATTAATGACTACTAGAAAGAGAAATTAAGAATACAATTCCATTTATAATCCCATCAAAATGCAAAAAATACCTAGGAATAAATTTAATCAAGATGAAAGACTACCCTGAAAACGGTAAGACATGATGAATACAGATAAGGATGACACAAATAAATGAAAAGATATACCAATCTCATGAACTAGGAGAATATTGTTAAGATGTCCATACTACATAAGCATCTACAGATTCAATTTAATCCATATCAAAACATTAATGGCATTTTTAACAGAACTAGAATAGCTCTAAAATTTGTATGGAACCACCAAAGATGCCGAACAGGCAAAGCAATCTTGAGAAAGAAAAACAAAGCTGGGCATATCACACTTTGGGATTTCAAAATATACTATAAAGCTATAATGTAATCAAAACAATATGGTACTGGCACAAAAAACAGAAACATAGATCAACGGAACATAAAAGACAACTCAGAAATAAAATAACACTTACATGGTCAATTAATCTATGACAAGGGAAGCAAGAATATACCATGGGAAGAAGAGTTTCTTCAACATGGTTGAGAAAACTGGACAATCACATGTACAAGAATGAAGTTGGACCACGTTCTTATACCATATACAAAAATAGACTCAAAATGGATTAAAGACTTAACTGTAAGACCAAAACCATACAACTCCTAGAAGAAAACATAGGCAGTAAACTCTCTGACATCCATCTTAATAGTATTTCTTTGGATCTAACTCCTCAGGCAAGGACAACAAAAGCAAAAACACCTAAATGGGACCACATCAAACTAAGAAGCTTTTGCACAGCAAAGGAAAACATCAACAAAACAAAATGGTAATCTACTGAATGGGAGAAAATATTCATATATGATGTATCCTGTAAGAAGTTAACATCCAAGATATATAAATTTATATACGAAAATATAACATAAAATATATATTTAAAAAACAAATTATACAATTTCAAAATGGGCAGAAAACCCAAAATAGATATTTCTCCAAAGAAGACATACAGATGACTAACAGGTGCGTAAAAAGATATTCAACATGACTAACGACCAGGGAAATGCAAATCAGGATCACAATGAGATAACTACTTCACATCTGACAGAATGGCTAGTATCAAAAATAAATAAATAAATTACACGTACTGGCAAGGATGTGGAGAAAAGGGCACCCTCACACTGCTGCTGGGAATGTAAACTGGTACAGCCACTACTGAAAACAGTACGGAGGTTTCTCCTCAACAAATTAAAAATAGAACTATCATCAAATCCAGCAATTCTGGTTTTCATCTGAGAAATTTCTAGGTTTTTACCCAAGGGGAAAAAAAACCCCACAAATTCCAAAAAGACATATGTACCCTTGTGTTTACAGTGATACAACAGTCAAGATTAGAAGCAACCTAAAAGTCTGCTCAAAGATGAATGGATGAAGATGTGGTCTATGTGTATGCACGCGCCTGCACACACACTCACAAACATACACACACACACAATTACTCACCGTAATAAAAGAATAAAATCTTGCCATTTGCAATAACATGGATGGACCTAGAGGGTGTGCTAAATGAAATTAAGTTAGCCAGAGAAAGACACATGGTATGGTTTCACTTATTATGTGAAATCTAAAAAACAAAACAGAAACAGAAACAGACTCATAATATGGAAAAGAAACTGATGGCTGCCAAACAGGAGGCAGGTGAAGGGGATGGACAAAATAGGTGAAGGGGATTCAGAGATGTAATCTTCCAGTTATAAAATAAGTAAGAGGGGGGATATAATATACAGCATAGAGAAGCAATATTATAACAAGTCTCTATTGTGGCAGATAGAGAACCAATATTATAATAAGTCTCTATTGTGGCAAATGGTAACTAGACTTATTAGAGTGACCATTTTATAATGAATATTCACAGTGAATAATTATGTTGTACACCTGAAACTAGTGCAATATTGTATGTCAAATATTCTTCAATTTAAGAAAACAGAGAAGGAAGTGCAGAAACACGCTATATTAAGCCCTATATTCCTGAGCTGCACACTTTTCAAAGCTCTTTCCTATCCTCAGGTCCTAAGTGTAGCAATGATTCCTATGTTACTCAGCAGCCAAATACAGCCGCAGTGCTTGCATCACTTTTATCTTTATGTCAAAAGTCAGGGCTACAAGATCTGCAGCAGAATGAATTAGCTGACTGAAGTATGACTTTTCTTAATATTTTTAGATGACCTTCTTCTATACTTAGATGAAAAAAATACTTTAAAAATCCTTATATTTTCAGAGGCTTTTGTTAAGTACACTGACAAAGATCTAGTCTGATTAAAATGTAATAATGATTAGGTGACTACGTGAGTATAAGAGCTAGAGGGACTTGTGCAAATGATCCTACATGATACATTTTTCATTAAATATGAAGCTCTTCACAAACATGATTTCCAATGATAAGCCATCAGACACTATTATTAAATAAAATCACCATTCTACCTTATATTTTACTTTATATGCATTTTATGTATTTCTTGTGGCTGAAGATAGTAACTACAACAAAATTAGCTTTCATATAGTTTATAACATCTAGATGAAAAAAAGAAAAGAACCTCTTAACTTTACTACTGTTGATGTACGTCCTGAACCTCTTGAACAGGAGAGGAACCTAACTTCCGTGCCAGTCAATAAATAAATGCTCTTGCCAGTGTTCACTCCACTTCTTGTCCTTTGAAGCCTAGTGCGGAGAGACACATATTCACTAACCTCTCTATCAAATGGAAGGCAGGATCGTGCAGTGGAAAGAACACTGGACTGAGAGTTGGGAGGCCTCCGTTCTACCTCCATCTGTCAACTACGAGCTGTGGCCCTAGGGAAGTCACTTAACCATTCTGGGTCTCAGATTCCTCATCTGTAAAATGAGGGGATTCGATTAGACAATCCCTCAAGTTGTTCAGACAACTACCTGAGTTTCTAGGTTAACCAAACAAAGCTATACGTCACATAGACCATTAGTTCTTCCTTCTCTAATAGGAACAAATTCCTTCGTGGGCTGAAAACCAGTTTTCACTTGCACTGAAAGCTGCACTCAAGAAGAGTGCTTCCCAAACTTTAGTGCAGACACAGAATCATCTGGAGATCTTGTTAAAATAGAGATAATGAGGGGTGCCTAGGTGGCTTAGTCGGTGAAGCGTCCGACTTTTGCTTAGGTCATGATCTCGCGGTTCGTGGGTTCGAGCCCTGCGTCGGGCTCTGTGCTGACTGCCAGCTCAGAGCCTGGAGCCTATTTCAGAGTCTGTCACTCCCTCTCTCTCTGACCCTCCCCTGCTCACGCTGTCTCTCTCTCCAAGAAATAAATAAAAAACATTAAAAAAAATTTTTTTTTTAAAATAGAGATAATGATTCCATAGGTCTAGAGTGGCACCCAAGGCACTGCATTTCTAACGAGCTTCCATGTGATGAGGAGGAGGATTGCCAAACTACATTTTAAGTAACAAGCTCTAGAACAATCCCTCAGGGCAAAGAAAATGTAACTTCAGTAAGCATCTATACTTTTTGGGTTTCTGAAGGGAGTCTATCTTTTAGTAATTAAACATTGCCTCTCTTGTCAAGAACTCAATTATAAGATACATTGGATTGCTCTGCATAAAACTATTCCTTAATTATACAGATTTTAAAAAAATATTCTGAGGGTAGTAAAAGCCAGCTACAAATTATGAATAAATACTTCTTAAAAACATAATTTATCATTGTAAAGCTATTTATAACTCAAATCTCAAGTAAGAAGAAAAATATCCTGTCCTTCCTTCATCTCCCAAATATATTTCTGCATCTTCACATCTCAAGAATATTCAGATAAACTAAAACAGTATTTTGGGAAGAAAGTCCATATAAGTCTGAACAAATCGCTTCACGATTCTAGGAGGCAATCAAAACTCCGAACTTGAGCCCTGCACGGCTTGAGGGTTTTCTGTGCATGCTTTCACACCACTTGTCCTATTTTATCCCGGTCCATGCATCAGGGAAAGGCAGTAGAGTAAATTATCACACATTTTTAAGCCCCCTAGATTAGCTGGACATCCCAAAGGATGGTTACTCAGAATAGAAAAAAAAATAAATAAAAGAGATACCGTTTCAAAAATGCTTTTTATGACATAAATTAGAGACTGATTCCATTATATACACTGGGGGAGGGAGAATCAGAAAGGAAATTGAAGCCTTTCACTCAATCGTATTTACGGACTGGTCAGTTCTTCTTAAGCAAAAAGATGCTTCGTGCACTTCTCATTGACTCCCTTATCTCTGTCTCCTTTTTAATCAAGGATCCATAAACATCATAATCAAAAGAAACTCTAAACTCACCCTTAAATTTTAAGGATATCTTGACTAAAGCTGTCATTCTTTGTAGATAAAATTAAGACCATTTAAGAAGACCATCAATATTAGCTGATACCATACAGCAGTTTTGTTTATATTATTAAAAACTCTGTAAAAATTGTTTATATTGCAAAATGCTAATCTAATTCACTCATAAAGAGGGAGAAACAGTGGGAAAGTGGAAGTTGGAACACACAAATATCCACCAGAATTTTTCTGGTATCACTGAACACAGGATTAATAACAAAAATTCTTCTGGAATTCTACCTGGGTTTAAAAAACTTCATATAAATGTGGCTACTTTAGAGAAACAAACTGTAGCACACATGCAGCTTTAGAAAATACCTGAGAGCCAATAGCTGGAAATGTAACTCCTTGTTCCTTAAGGTTCTTAATCATTGCTGATATTAGACTAAGCTGTGGATCATTCTTAAACTCATCTGTCCATTCAACCATAAGAGCCTTTAATTTTTCACAGACTTTAGGATGACCCTGAAAAAAAGAAAAAAAAGTAATTAGAGAAAAAAATTAATTAAAGGTACTAATTGCCTGGCTAATTTAACAGACACATTAAATATAAATATAAAAGTGCTACAGGTATTTATTTTTTCAATCAGAAATTACCCCTAGCTATAGATGGTACAGAAGAAAATATAGTGTTACTAGAAATAATCAAGTTTTTTTTTCACATTTTCTAATGTGTTTTTTCTAAAACAACAGGTGATGCCAACATACATCCCTCATACTAAATTAAAACAGTGTGTAATAACTTATTTTGGAGGTTAGAGAGAACTTTTCATAGTATTTCACAACTAAGTGAGCTTGTACACCAAAAAGACACAGAAAAATAGTCTGTTTTGTTTTGGTTACTTTGCAGACCAGTAAAAAATAAGTTGGAAAGAGGAAAAAAATTATAGTTCACTTATTCTGAATACCTGACTCTTAATGTGCCTGACTATGTATTTTTCCCCAAGTTGTTTAATTATCAGAGACCTGGTTTGAGGTCTACTGCTTGTCAATATTCTTAGAAAACCTCATTTCTTCCAAATAACATCTCCTCAAGTATATGTTTATAGTAAAACATTTGGGAAAAAAAGAAGTCTTTTTTCCTGTATATGGCTGTTTGCTTTTCAAAATAGCTATTCATGCTACTAAATACAGATGTGCATATCACACCTTCAATTAAATTATAGAAAACATTGGAATCTCTTCATAAGCAGTCATACATTTTGACAATCAGGACATTACAAGAATGGTTATTAAAGACACCTAAATATAAAGAATAAAACAAAACAGGAAAAGAATTAACACACAATCATGCTTGAAAACAAAGTACAGAGGGGCGCCTGGGTGGCACAGTCGGTTGAGTGTCTGACTTGGGCTCAGGTCACGATCTCATAGGTTCGCGGGTTCAAGCCCCGCGTCGGGCTCTGTGCTGACAGCTCAGAGCCTGGAGACAGTCTTCGGATTTTGTGTCTCCCTCTCTCTCTGACCTTCCCATGCTCATGCTGTCTCTCTCTCTCAGAAATAAATAAAACATTAAAAAAAAAAAAAAAAGAAAACAAAGTACAGAAATTATGTAAAGAATTTTGTAAAATTTTTATCTCATTTCTGAACAGTTTTCTACTAAAACCTGGAAATACTCATTTTTCCCAAAATACATTAGGATCTTCCCTTTTAATACCTTAAAGTTTGTCTTGATTTTGTAACACCCCATCCTCCTTGCCCCTCAAAAAAGTCAGAAATAATTAACTTCAGAATACACAAATTTTTACTGGGAAAATTCATAACTAACTAACTTAAATTTTTTTAAACTCCTTGAATTGCATAAACTGAGCTTTTTTATATATATTCAGTTAAATAAACAGCACAGTATTAAAATCCTGCCATGGTACACAGTGGCCTTACTCATGTCACAATGACACCAAGTGCTGTATTTTGGCAGTATTTCTGAGTACTTCTGCACTGGGAAAATACCTTTGTGGCTACACAAATGGTTATAAAAACTGTGCCTAAAACAGACTGGCATTATTTAAGCAGATAGAAAAATACATGTATTTCCTTATCAGATGAAAGGAATGATGAAGCAAACAGGTTAAATGTACTCTAACCTGGCTTGAAAGAGAAAATTCTGTAAACACATATATCCGTAGTCTTTGTCTTCGGGACAACAAAGTACATACTGACATACTGAACAGATACAGCCCAGGAAGGGCTTTAAGAAAAAGCAAGCAAGCAAGCACAGGCCAGTCCTTTGTAATTTAAAATGTAAAGAACTGAACAAGAAAATACAGGAAGGAAGAAGACTGTGTTAATTCATTTCTGGAAACAGTGTCCCTTACCTTGTTTAATACGTTGCTTACTTCACTAGCAAAATCTCTTGAACATACTTCTAAATGAAAAATTTTGCCACAGTTTGATACACATGCTCCTAGAAGCTAAAAGCATAAAATAGCAAGTTAAAAGGGCTCCGTGTCAACAGACAATTTTGTGATAAAACTTAAACTGAAACCACTCACAGTCAGAGCCTGCATAGCAACATGAGGATCTTTATGGTTCACCCTTCTCATAACAGACCGAAGACAATCTTTAGGTCTAAAAAATGAGAAATGTAACAGTTAGTGGTACATCCAGCCATTCTCCCCCTTAACTATAATAGGCAATAGACTACCATACAAAAGGTAGAATATGGTATAGAAGTTTAATTTTTATTATCGACACAACTGAACTGTATATGAACCAGTTCCTTTAAATTTTTCAAACAAAATTAACAGGCTCTCTTCCTTAGCAATCAGAGATTAGGCATTTCATATTACTTCTGAACCAAAAAAAGTTCTGAAAATAAAATGGTAGACTGAAACTTCTACTTCCGGTCATGATAGAACAAATGGAACTAGACTTATATTCCTGCCGTAAACAATGAGAAAAGTAGAAAAATATATTTAAAATATATACTCAGATAACTGTTTGGGACATTAGGCCATAGGCAGTGTTGAATGACTCCAAGAAGGAATACAATTAGATAAACCAGACATTTGCTTAAACTTTCCAATGAGAGCCACTTTTCAGATATCAGTACAGGCTTTCTGCCTAAAGGCAGTTTCTGGATCTTAGGGCAGAGATGATCCCAAGAAGTGAATGGTGATCTGAGTTGAGGGGACAGAAATCAAAATTTAGACTAGAACTATTTCTTCATATAGCTCTTTCTACTGTGTCTTGTAAATTCTGTCTCCTTGGCCTCCCTGAATTTTGATTTTTTTACAGGATCAGTAAACTTGAAGACACGCTTAAGGTACGTGAAGTACAGAGGGAAAAAAGACCAAAAAATTTAAAACCATCCCTAAAGTATTTTTAAAAGAGAAATGGAAATAAAAGAAAATCATAAAAATATTCAATTGATATATAAGATAATAAAATAAGTTCAACCTTACAGATATATAGAAAAAAGGCAAATTTTAACATTTTAATCCAACCACATCAACAGTTATATTAAATGCAAATGGTCTAAACACACCAAATAAAAGAAAGATTGCTAGAATGGATTTAAAAAAGCAGAACCCACCTAAATGCTCCCTATAAGAAACTGTTTAAATAAAAAGACCTATGTAATTTAAATGTAAAAGAATGGAGGACAGAAAGATATACCATGCAAACACAAACCACAAGAAAGTTGGAGCAGCTATATTAATATCAGACAAATTGCACTTTAAAACAAGTATATTACCAAGGTTATAGAGGCAAAGTACATAATGATAAAGGGATCAGTTCTCCAAGAAGACATAATAGAGCCAGATGTGTTTGCTTATCTAAAAACAGAGCTTCAAAATACATGAAGCAAAAACTGATAAAACTGAAGAGACAAATCCACAATTTAGTTGGAAACTTCATTCCATTCTCAGAAACAGATAAAACAATTACACAGAAAATTAGGTAAGGGACATTCCACTCTACAATAGCAGGATATATAGTATTTCTGGGGCCCACAGAACATTCACCAAGATAGACCATATTTTCAACCATTTAAAAAAAAAATTTTTTTTTTAAAAACTGAAATGATAACATGCTATGTCATTAGACCATGATAAAATTATACTATAAATAGGTAACATAAAGAAAACTGGGGGTGTGTGGGTGGCTTAGTTGGTTAAGTGTCCGACTTCGGCTCAGGTCATGATCTTGCAGCTTGTGAGTTCAAGCCCTGCATTGGGCTCTGTGCTCACAGCTCAAAGCCTGTATGTAGACTGTTCAGATTGTTTCCACCTCTCTCCGCTCCTCCCCCACTTGTGTACACATGTACGTACACACACACACACACACACACACACAGACTCTCTCTCTCCCCTTGCCCCATCTCTCTCTCAAACACAAATAAAAACATTTAAAAGAAATTGGAAATTCTTTAAGTTCTAAATAACCACAGTTGGTCATAATACATTATCCTTTTTATATGTTATTGGGTTTGATTACAATACTGCTGAGGATTTTTGTACCTTTGTACATAATTGGTCTCTGCTTTTCTTTTGTTTTTGGTATTGACCTATTGCAGGCCTTAGAAAATGAGTTCCAACAAAGAAAAGTCTAAGTCCAGATGACTTCACTAGTGAATTGTACCAAACAATTGCTATCATGCTGAATACACAAATTTCCTGTAAATGTCCTTTATCAGGTTGAGAAAATTTCCTTTAGTTCTTAAAGAGTTTTTGTTACAAATGTAAAGTGAATTTTTTCAAAGGAACTTTCTACATTTATTATATTTTTTTTTCTTTAGTCTTTGAGACAGTGAATTACACTGATTTATTTTCAAGAGTGAACCAGGCTTACATGTCTGGGATAAATTCTTTTTTCAAAGAACTAGCTTTACTTCTGAATTTTCCCTATTGTTTCTCTCTTTTCAGTTTCATAGATCTCTGCTCTTATTTTCATCTTTCACTTATTTTCACTTTCTTTTGCTTCCTTTAAGTTTGTCTTCTTGTTTCTTAACATAAAAACTTAGATCATGGATGAGACATTTCTTCTTCAAATATAAGCATTTAATTCTATAAATTTATCTCTATGGATAGCTATAGCTACATCATGCTAATGTTGCTATATTTCATCTTCACTTTCATTTCACTGAAAATATCTTCCAATTGCTGTTGTGATTTCCTCTTTGACTCACAGGTGACAGCCCAAAATGGAGATAAAGTATAATCATAAAAAACTGAGAAGAAAGAAAAATGGGAAAAAAGGAAACAAAGAACAAATAACACATATTGAAAACTAATAGCAAAATGGTAGCTTTAAATCCAACCATATGAATAATTATATTAAATGTAAAAAATCTAAACACTCCAATTACTAGGTAGAGACTCAAATTGGATAAAAAAAAAAAGGACCAGGTATATGATGGCTATAGACTATCTACAAGAAAATCTACTTTAAATATAGATAGATTAAAAGATAGAAACAAGATAGGAAAAGATATTTCAATATTAGTTAAAAATCAAGTGGTTTCAACAGTTTCAAACAAGGAATAGTAACAGAGATAAACCAGGAGAGTCCATAACAATGAAAGGGTTACTCAAGAAAACAACAATTGTTAAGTGTAACAGAATCCAAAATCTATAAAGGAAACACTGATAGAAATGAAAGGAAAAACTGACAAATCTTCTGGAAACGTGAACATGCTTCTCTCAATAATTTGATAGTGTAAGTAAAACAAACAAAAAGTATGGGTATGGAAAAATGAACATTCCCATGCATCTTGACCTATTGAACATTCTTCCTACACATGGCAGATAACATAATTTTCAAGAACGTTGAAAATTCACCAAGACAGATCACATTCTAGACTATAACAAATGGTGACAATTTAAAATCATACAAAATATGTTCTCTGACTATAACAGAATTAAACTACAAATTAGTAACAAAATTATTGCAGGAAAATCCCCAAATATCTGGAAATTAAACAACACAAATCTAAATCACAAAAACATACTTTCACTTAAGAAAATGAAAGCATGCAATCAAGGGGCCCCTGAATGGCTCAGTCGGTTGGGTATGTGAGTCTTGATTCCGGCTCAGGTCATGATCTCATGGTCTGTGAGACTGAGCCCCACATGAGGCTCTGTGCTGACAACATGGAACCTGCTTGGGACACTCTCTCTCTCTCTCTCTTTGCTCCTTCCTTGCGTGCACACTCTCTTTCTCCCTCTCTCAAAACAAATAAATAAACATTTAAAAAAAAAAAGAAAAAGAAAGCACATTATCAAGTATCTTGTATAAGAATATTCACAGTGGCTCTCTCCATTCCGCTAAAAACTGGATCCAATGCAAATGTTCATCACCAGATAGGAATGGATTAAAAAACTGTACTATATTCATACTATGGAATATTCCTTGGAAATAAATACTACTGATATATACAAAAACTTGGATTTGGCTCCAAAAATTATTCTACAGTAGATACACAAGTATATACCACATAAATTTATTTTATGAAATTTCATAAAAGGAAAATTTCAGAAAAGGACAAAAAGCAGATTCATAGTTGGCTTAGGACAGCAGGAACTTTTGGAAGTGATTAAATGCTCTTTATCTTGACTGAATTAATGTTTATAATATAGTATATATATTTGTCAACCTAATCAAATTCTGGAACTGTATGAAGAAGTCATTTCTTAGTAAACAAATTTATTTTTTAATACAAGACCATGCACGTGATAAACATTTTTTTCACGTGGATGCTATGTAATTCACAATAAATGGGGCTCCTGAGTGGCTAAACTGGTTAAGGGTCCAACTCTCTAATTTTTGTTCAGGTCATGATCATGCAGTAGGTTAGTGAGTTGGAGCCCAGCATCGGGCTCTGCACTGACAGTGCGGAGCCTGCTTATGATTCTCTCTCTCTGCTCTCTGCCCCTCCTCCACTCACTGTCTCTCTCCAAATAAATACGTAAACTCCCATGGAACATCTCTGTGTTTAGGTTCTCAAAATTTCACATAAGCAAGGAACTCCATCAATACTCAAAACATCACAGTAAACAGAGACTTAACAGCTGTTCAATTCCTTGCCCATGATACAAGTTACTAGATACCAGTACAAACAAGATTCAAACCCAGGTGTGGCTAAGTCTAAATTCTCTACGCTCTGACCACAGAATTGCCCTGCAACGAACGAAGATAATATAAGCTGGAAGCTCTTCAGATAACTCAAAGGACAATAGCCTCAAAATATTAATTCATCAGGCTGAAATGGCATATATTTTACTTAATAATATTATAAAATATTATCAAAAGGACAAATATTGTATGATTCCATTTATATAAGGTCCTCAAAACTGCCAAGTTCATGAAGACAGAAAGTAGAAGTGCCCCAGTGGCAAGGAGAAGGGGGAAATGGAAAGTTATTATTTTAATGCACGAAGAGTTTGTTAGGGATGATGGGCAAGTTTTGGAAATGGGTAGTGAAAACACAGTCATGAAATAAAAACCATTATCAAGTGATTTGTATGCCAATGGACTCGGCTCGGAAGAAATTGGCCAGTAAGAATAATTATCCTAAAAGAGTCTTTAAGAACTGAAATACAGTCAGTCAACACTGTGATAAATTT